CCGTTAGTGAGTTGGGGGCAGGGGGTTGCTGGGGGATGCAAATTGTTTCTCCAGTAAAGCACGTCCATGCGCAAAAACACCCCAGTTCACGTGTATCCACCCGATACGCTGTTCCCACACGTCTAAAACCCCTCTCACAAGCAGGCGCAGATGACGCGGTGAGGCAATACGACCTACCCCCGTGCCCTTGCTACCTGGCCCTGGAGTGTCTTTGTTCTTGGCTTCAGAGGCAGGCTGGTCAGTGCATGTACATACACAACCTCACCCACAGACGAGCGGGCCGTCAAATGCATTCCCATGCATATCTTCAGGCAGTAATGTCCCCAAGCAAGCATGCATTTGTGAACACAATTTGCAGTCTTAAAAACAGTCATATTTATAGATTTACTGAAAAATATGCCCTAGAAATACTATCACATAAACAATCACATATACATGTATGCATGTACATTTATGTATGAAACTTTGTATGCAGACATATTCTGGCAAAACCAGGCTTGCTGTGCATATGTGTATTTTGCTAGCCATTCATGCATATGAGGCTAAGGTATAAATATGCATGCTAAGGTACATATCTTGTACAAACATGCACACTTATGTTATTAGCATGAAAAACAACCTGCTGCATGTTTTCATCCGTTTCCATGCAGAGTAACCATTAAGATTTCTTTCCCCACTGCCATGTGAAAAAACGGTTGGCAGAGAGAGGTTTTGATTCTGTTGTGCCCTTTTCTTTTGCTGGCTGTTGCCTTCTGTTTTATATGTAGGCTGGAAACCATTTCAGACTAGCTCTGTGATTTGATTGGGTTTACACAGGCCCCAGAACAGTGGTCTTTGGCCTGGGACCTTCAGATAATTGATAGTTAATTGATATACACAATTGATATAGTGGTTAATAGATAATAATAATAGTAGTAGGATGACAATAGTAATATATACATAATTTTGGACAATTAAGGTAACAGTAGATAGATGATGTAATATACATTGATAAAAATACATATTCTCATACGCTGTAGGATTTTATATTGTTTTCTTTCTGCATGAGAAAGCAGCTCCAGCTGGTGAGGTATTTAGAAGCTGTGTTATTCGTGACTATAGAAAGGGTGCTTATGGCAGAGAGCTCCCTCAGCAATACACAGATGGGTGTAGTGGGAGGGATGTGTAATGAGTAATTAGCAATGCAGTAATATAGAATAACAGACTCACAGAAAGATGTAGGTGGGAGGGGACCTCTGGAAGTCTCTAGCCCAAGCCCCTGCTCACAGCAGGGCTGACTCCAAAGCTAGGTCAGGTTGTCCAGGGCCTTGTCCAGGCAAGTTCTGAACATCTCCAAGGCTGAAGATTCCCCAGCCCCTCTGGGCACATGTACCTGCACTGAACAACCCTCAAGAGGGCATGGATGGGGACATGTTTTCATTTTGTACAGACTTTCCTTTCTTGCAAGTTACACCTTTTTTCTTTCGTCCTTCGCTATGTCCCTCCGAGAAGTCTCCCTCTGATGTTTCTTTCCAACCCCCCTCTCCCTTCAGGTGGTGGGACTGCTGTTGGATCTCCCCTTTGCCTTCTATTCTTCAGGAAGAACTACTGTTTTGTTGCTGCCCCCCGCCCCTCACATGTGCCTCATTGGTTCTATGTCTAAGCAGTTGAGCCTAGACTTTTTACTGACATATAAATTTACTTATGAAGTGAGTTTTGGGAGGTTTCACCTTTGAGACAAAATATGGCTGCTCTTTTGTGATCCATCAGAAAAAAAAAAACCTATGGAAGATCATTTCAGGAACAGCAGGATGGCTACAAGGCGGGAGTCAGAGGGCTGAGCAGTAGAGCCCAAGGCTGCCTCAATGGCCAGGAGCAGCAGATTAAAAACAGTATGCACTGGCAGTGCTGGGGGAAGGGATTTTGGGACTGGAGTATGCTGTGGAGAACATATTGTTCAGTCATAATGGCATGGGAAATAGCTTAGGCTTTGGACTGTGAGAGGAGGGCAGTTTTATGCAGGTGGCTGAGCTCTCAGAAAATAGCTCCCAGCAAAGTCTTGAGATTGTGGTGCTGTACATATTTTTCCCATGAGATTCTGTGCAGCTTTTTCTCCATTACTCAAGCAATGAAACTTCCCCATCTTTTTTGGAAAGACACACCCTGCTGGTTTACAGTTAAACATTAATAAATGCTTCCTCCCTGAAAATGAACTTTACCCTGCTTGTGGTTTCTCCCTGGATGGGTAATATTCAAGGATCACCTCCTTCAAGCTCAGGAGCGATGCATCCCAACAAAGAGGAAGTCCGGCAAAAATGCCAGGAGGCCTGCATGGATGAACAAGGAGCTCCTGGACAAACTCCAACACAAAAAGGAAGCCTACAGAGGGTGGAAGCAAGGACAGGTAGCCTGGGAGGAATACAGAGAAATTGTCCGAGCAGC